TAAAAAAAAAAAAAAAAAAAAAAAAAAAGGTGTATATATTTATAATTTCATATAAAATTGTTATATTTAATCAAAAAGAATAAATAAAACTTGTAATTCAAAATAATTAAAAAAAAATAAATAATAAAAATTTTAGATTAAGAGGAAATATTTTTTTTTTCATATAGAGAGATATCTATATTTTTTTTATATATGACTTAATTTTAATACATTTTTTTACTAAAAAGAAAAATATATATTTCTTTTATATTTTTGTTCTTTGAAAACTTTTTATCAAAGAATAAATAGTTTTAAAATCATATGAGTAATTATTTTTTTTTTATTATTTTCTGCATTATTTTACTTTATTATACTAAATTTATTCATACATGCATTTCTCATTTTTATTTTTTATTTTATTTTATTTATTTATTTATTTATTAATTTTTTTTTTTTTTTTTTTTGTCTATTTTAAGAATTTTACGCTTTTTTATTAATTTACTCTATTGTTCTTATAGAAATAAAATGAAAATATAAATGAATTCTTTTTAAATAAAAGTCTTAAAATTGAAAAATATATTATTATTAAAAAAAAAAAAAAAAAAATGAATTAAAAACATTTTTGAGAAAGGTAGGATTTATATATATATATTTTTTTTTTTTTATGTTCTTTTAAAAATGCCAGTGTGTTTTTGTGTTTATAATGTATGTGGTTATAATGAAAAATATAATACTATATTATATAGGGAGCCTATTTTAATAAATAAAGATTATGATAGTAAATATATTATATTTTTTCCTGGTGATTATTCTAGTTTTTTTTATAATTCCATCTATACATCATTTAAATTAGAATCAAAATATGAGTGTACAGATTACTGTTTTAGTTATGAGGCCTTATTTTGGGTAATATCTCATAAGTATCTATATGATCATATAATATTTATTAAACCTTGCACTTTTTATAATTATTATGCTACATTTTCTAATTTTTTACCATCTCCTGAAATTTATTCTTACGAAAATACTGGAAATATTATTGAGAGAAATTCCAAAGAAAATAACAAAACCACGACAAATAACAACAATATGACAGCAACAAGTGCAAAACATCTACTTTCCTTATTAATTTCATTAAATAAAAAGCTAACAGAAAATAAAAAAAAATACATAAATAGTAATAGCATGAATAATGCTGATAATTTGAGAAATACTACTAATGGTGATAATAGTGATACCAATGAAACTAATAGTAGTAGTAATGATAACTTTTATAAAAATGTTACTAAAGATAAAACGAGTATGGAAAAAAAATTTGTTAATGACAATTTTAATAATGAATACTACAGTATATATTTAAAAGAAAAAATAAAAAAGAAATTGGTTTTAATTGGTTTTAGTAAAGGGTGTACAGTATTAATTTCCTTACTAAGAGAAGCATATAAGATAGATGTTTTTTGGTCAATAGTTGATTCTATTTTTTTTTTAGATCCTGGATTTAATAAAAATACATTTAATTCTAATATTGAAAGTTATTCATTAGAAAAAATATCTGAATACAATTTAAAAATTTATATTCACTCAACTCTTCGTCAAATAATTGATGAGAGTGGTTCCTGTATTCATAAACAATTATTAAATTTTATCAATTCATTAAAAAAATTTAATATATGTGTATCTTCTTATTTGCATTATACAAATGTTCAAAATTCTATAAAACCATTAAGTTTGCATTTTGAAATTTTAGTAGATTTTTTTCAAGATATTTCTACAGATTTGCACACACATCCATTGTTATTAAATTCTCATGAAAAAACAGAAATAAAATTATGTAATAATAAAAAATGTAAAGAAAATTTTCTTTTTGAAAGTTGGAGAAACAGTTCATCATTTAATGATCAAATATTTTAAAGAAAAGTTATAAAAAAAAATTATATTTTCATTCTTTTTTTTTAATATAATTCAATTAATGAAAATGTGTTAGATTTGTATATTAGTGTTTTTATTTTTGTCTATATTTATATTTTTATAAATTAAATTCTTCTTTTTTAATTTATTTATTTATATATAACTTTTATTTTTTTTTTTTTTTTTTTTTTT